GGCCTTCTGCTCGGCCAAGATCCTCGCAGCCTCCTCCTCCTGCTCCTTGGTGTAAGGAGTGGTACTAGTGCCACCCCTCGTCTCTAGTCTACGCGTCATGGTGTTTCAGAAGCCCAACGGAAAGAGGAGACGCCAGAGGGTCCCCCAGAGGGAGAACCCAACGAGCAGACCGTACATAGGATAGTCATCCATGGTATTTGGTGCACGACAGCGACTGTCCCACTCCTCACCACTTAGACCTACCCAGACACTGACTGATTGACTGACTGTCTATGAACCACAAAGCCCTACCCTTCGATCCAGCCAGGTTACCACGACCGATGAAAGCTTTCGCCACCGCTGTCCTTTACATTCCAGACCCAGATGCCAGCACCGGCGGTCAGTCCCACCTGGCTTTCCCTTCGATTCAGAACCCTGTCAACTATGGTCTCTAGCCTGGACCTAATACTAAAGCTGTCACTACAGGACTTCAATGCTCATCAGGAGGCATTTAAGGAGATCCCCCATAACTCCTCAGGAATTCTTTAATGTCGCAGACAGGACGACGTGATCAGCAAGCATTCTTAAGACTTAGACAGCTTGTTGTGCAGCCCACAACTCCGATTTTGGGCCTACTGTGCCACACCGAGCAGCCCGCCGGTCTGTACCAGTCCTTGGGAGGGTTCGTGTCCTCCGGGTCAGTCGAGTCGTCAGACACAACCTTTAGCCCTACTCAACCCGTGTGGGTTTGGTCAACAAAGCTCTACGACCACATACACAGAGTTCCTAGCACCTGGACAAAAGAGACTCAATGCAGAAAGAAGAGACAGACAGACTCAACAAGTACCGTGGAGTGTGTGTACATCCATAGGGAGAGGGAATAGGCTGAGGGCTTGGCGAAAATATACCAACTCCAGCTTGGTCAATTTTGTGGTCAACAGCTCCGGTCAACGCCTTGGTCAACACTGGTCAACGCTGGCCAACCCCCGGTCAATGCCTGGTCAACCTCGGTCAAGGCCTTGGTCAACGCCTGAGTCAACGCCCAAGTCGACCTTGGTCAACACCTGAGTCAACCTTGGTCAACCCTTTGGTCAACGCCATAGTCAACCTTCAGCTCGGCTATGGCTGCCGACACCTTCTCTCTCTCCAACCCTCACTTCTCTTTCTCCCTCCTTTCTTCTTCCTCACTACTTTCTCTCTTCACCCCGACTATGTCTTCTTCCTTCTTCGCCGTCCCTCCTTCCTCCTTCCTCAGCTATGGCGTCTCCTTCCTTTCTCGTTCACTCGTCTTTCTCCTTCCACCTCCGTGTCCGAGCTCCACAGCTATGACCGCCTTCTTCCTTGGACCGCGCAACAATCTTCTATTGCTCCTCTCTCTCTCTCTCTCTCTCTCTCTCTCTCTCTCTCTCTCTCTCTCTCTCTCTCTCTCTCTCTCTCTCTCTCTCTCTTCGTCATTGTCTTCTTTGCAGGTACGCGGCACCTTTCTTCGACGGCGTGGCTATGACGAACCTTCCTCCTTCGATAGCCGCGGAGTAACGGGAACCAGCTCTGATACCAATGCAATCAGACTCACTCTCTTTTCCACTTCGCATACATGCAAACAGATAGTGATTCACACTGGCGCCAAGCGCCCACTCAAAGCTCAGAGATATGGAATCACAGTTCAGATGCAACTTCACTTCATCAGGCTATGGCGCCTTAGCACCGTACACTTCAACCCTCGTCACTGTGTCCAACACCACTGTTCGCACGTACTCAACTCTGGATCACCCTGAATACCCCACACACACTCACTCTGTATCACTCACACATACACACTAACAGCTACCTCTAACGTATGGCGGCTATGGCCGCTCGCTACTATTGCTATGCCTTTGCTATCTCCTTCCTGCCCACTTCGACCGCGGGCACTCTGCAGACCACCTTGCACAAGACGCTGGGGCAGCGCTTCCGCATGGCTTACGCAGCGAATGAATGAATGGCTGGGCGCTGCCTCTTGATTTATACTTCTGTAAGACGTTGGTCTGCCCCGTGTCCACCGGGCCCATGGTGCGCACAGTCCCTCATGGTACTTGCTGACTGTGCAAAGTGAGACCGGGACTGGGTACCGCTGACTAAGCGAAGTTGGACTCCACCACTTGCCCACTTGCCTCTGGTCTGCTGTGTAGAACATGAGAAGGACTTGAAAGGCCACTTCCGGACCTTCTGGAAGTTTGCGGACTTGGCCTTTTGAGACTGTAGCAGCTACGACCTTGACCTTTCAGGACTGTAGCAGCTACGACCTTGACCTTTCAGAACTTCAACAACTACGACCCCTATACAGGTGTGACCCCTACTTCGACAGGTCTAGACCCTGCAACTACTCATTCCTTCGACAGACAACTTCAACTACTACCACACAGGTTACGGGTTCAAGACTCACAGGGTCGACTCGATACTGTACACAGGTAAGGTAAGGCACGACGAGGTCTGTGGATCGAACTCTGGGATCCGCATCTGTGTCTGCAAAAAGGTGAAAACCGTTTCACGTACATAAGTACAGTACTGACTGTCATCGTACATATGGAAGCAAAAACTCGCATGGACTATACCTTCATAATCCTCACTGCACAAGGCATGTGAACCACATGCTAGTTGAATCTCTGGCGGGTCATTACAAAAACGGCATGGAGCATCTTTCTTGGGCTTCCTTAGTATGTATTCCTTCTCTATGGGCAGCCAACGACAGGGAGGATCGGTCCAACACAAGGGCATTCAGCTGCTGCAGGATATGATCCGAAATAGCTCGCCCTGGTGGTGATAAACTATGAGCACATCGCTCTGCCGGTGGTTCATATAGAAGTCTATTTTCCTCTAAGGACTGCTGTGTTCGTCGTTCGTCTGGCAAGAAAGAGGGAGATCCGTCAGCGGTTGCCGTAGGTGTATGACCAATACCGCATGTGGGACATCTAGGAGAGGATCTGGAGGGTGATGGCACCGGGGATAGTCCACGGAGTAAAGACACGTACTTTCTATGACAGCTTCCTGGAAGCATTGACGACACATGGCTTGTTGCTGACATGTCATTAGTATGGAAGGCTGACGTGCACAGTTATTTAAGCATGGCAGATCAAGGCCACAACGGCATGCTGGGCAAGTAATCAAGGGGTGGGGGGGATGAGCACAGGACTGGGGATCACAATTTTCATGTGAGAGGCTACCAGCGACCATCCCTTCATAGTGTTCGGAGCAGAGGCTATGTCGTGTACATGCCAACCGAACTGCACCTGCGCGACGACACAACGGGAGGGCACAGCCATCATCCTGTAGAGAGGTCCTTTCACTGTTTGTGGTAGAATCAGCCGGGCTGCTCTTCGGGGGGTGCAGTGCTTGCAAATGCTCATCGACATACTGTTCCTGATGGATGAGCCAGACTGAGTGACCCTCCAGCATTTGGTGATAGAAAGAGTTAATATTTCCCACTGTGTGCACCCTACCGCCATTGTCCCATATGCAAAGGTAAGCGCATTGAAGTGACCTGGACGATATAAGATATATGCCCGAATATTCGGATCTGTGCCTGGCTCGTTCCGTAGCCAGGACTTCTATGTTCAACCCAGGCGCAGCGCAGTCGTCCTCTGGGCAGACGGCACGGTGCATTTCTTCTATCCAGCGAACAACTTCTGCGAAATCAGCAACAGTATAAGGATTACAATTGTAAGCAAGGAGACATACATTAATGGCATAGTACGCACAGTGCCCTCGCTGTAGCGCTACGACATTGTCTGATTCCGCAGGTTGTGTGGGGGATCCGTTTACGGCAGGGGGATCCTCGTTCGATTCTGCAGGTTGCCCAGGTGGTGGAGACTCGTTGTGGTCTTAACCAATTAGCTCCTGTATGGGCTCCAGAGAGAGATGATCTTCAACTGGGGGCTCCGTCAGGTAATCAAGAGATGGGCCATCGCCATTTGGGGCAGGGGAGCGAGTGGGGCTAGGTGGATGAGAGAGGGGCGGGTCAGGTGGGTGAGAACTGGGTGGACCAGATGTGGGAATCGGAAGCTGATCAGCCTCACTTGTGCTCAGGCCGGCATGAGTACAGTACAGTGTTGACTGTCATTATATGTACGAAAACAAAGACTTGCATGAGTACAGTACAGTGTTGACTGTCATTATATGTACGAAAACAAAGACTTGCATGAGTACAGTACAGTGTTGACTGTCATTATATGTACGGAAACAAAGACTTGCATTGGCTACACCCTCATAATGCTCACGACACACAGCATGCCAATCACATGCTAGGCGAATCTCAGACGGTCCATCACAGTGCGGCATTGAGCAAATTTCTTGCGTTTCCGCAGCTGATACTCCCCCTCTACGAGCAGGCGATGATGGGGCCTGACCGAAAGTAAGGGTGCTTAGCAGTTGCAAGATCTGGTCTGCAACTGCTCACTGTGGTGGCCATAACCTTTCAGTACGGTGCACTGTAGGTGGTTCATGTGAGAATCTATTCTCCACCTCAGGCTGCTGCGTCTGTTCTTCATCTGACAAAGATGGCGAGGGTCCAGTTACGTATGCAGCCGGAGGATACCCAACATTGTGTGTGGGAAACGAACGGAGAAGATGTGGTAGGTGGTGGCATCGGGGATAATCCACGTGGTAGAGGCATGTGCTATCGATGACAGCTTTTTTTTTCCTGGAAACATTCACGCCACATGCCATGTTGCTGACCTCCCAGAAGGGAAGCAGAGTGTGATGTTCACAGTTATTCAGGCATGGCATGCCAAGGCCACAACGGCACATCAGGCAAGCAAGCAAACAAGGGGTGGGGGGATGAGTGTGAGACAATGGGTCACATTTCCCATGGCAGAGGCTGGCAGTGACCATCCCTTCGCAGTGTTCGGAGAAGAGATTGCGCTGTGCACAGGGTAACTGAACTGTGCCTCTGTAGCATGTGCACAATGGCATGGTGCAGTCACTGTCCCTCATTTACTACAAACTCAAGAAAAGCAAAGGGCACAAAAATATCCAGAGGTGCTTGCCTGCAGCTTCCGTCTTCAGTGGAATCTTCTGCACCTGCACGCTTGCGACGGTCAACGGCTCAGTTTTGCGCTCTGCTACAACCGGCTCTCCGACCTAGACACAAAACAATCACCCACGATTCAACCGCAAATGAGCATCTAATCACCATCATCATCACCACCACCACCACCCCCGGCACCGCTGCCTCGATCATGGCCATTCACCTCCGTTCGCCACTGTTCATTATCATCATCCTCATCCTAGGAGTCCTTTGTCTTCATCATCATCATCATCATCATCATCATTCTTTCTCTCTCTCTCTTTGTCAGCCACTCTCTCTCTCTCTCTCTCTTTCTCTCTCTCTCTCTCTCTCTCTCTCTCTCTCTCTCTCTCTCTCTCTCTCTCTCTCTCTCTCTCT